GGGAGCTAAGGTTCTTGCAGCCCCCACCTCCTTCATATAGTCCCTACCTCTGTATCGGACTGGACTTACCCCTAGTGACCGTCTCTTCAGCTTGACTGATACAGTAACAATATCTCCTACAGTTATAAGTGATTTATCTTCAGTGTCGTCCAAAACTGTGAATGATATACAAAAATAAATATTAGAAAAAACGAGCTAGGAATCTACTAATTTGACTTATTCTCAAAATCATGAATATTTACAAGCATTATCCTTATGTGCGACCTGCGAAGTTTGAAAATCTCCCTCAAAATATTGAGTTTCCTATTTTTAGTTCTTTGATTGATGGTCGTTGAAATGCCGGTTGGCAAACGAGAACAAACTTTGAGGGTCGCACTTCAATGTAGTAGTAAAGAGGACAAAATAAAGTTCATAACTATAGTACCAAAAGTATACATAAAATAATTTGCAAGGATCATTTTGATCGTAATCATGAATTTATTCTTTCTTGCCTCGTGGTCGGCTCGACCTACTCCAGTGCGCATGCACTACACAGGGAACCCAATACACGTTTCTTCTGAACAATATTCAGACAGTGGTTTCGTCAACATTTGCTTCAGATGAAACAGTTCTTGAAGTGAATCTTTGAATGCTCTTACCGTGTGCTCTTATATCCATTTCTATGACTGGAAATGTCCAACAAACATTTATTATGTCCTTATATTCCTCATTACTAAGATTCCTAAGCAGTGACCTGACAAAAAAACATAGGAAGGTTATCTTCAAAATGTCATGTTGAGACCAAGAATGGAACCCAGAGATGAGTCAACTATTTGAATTTGAAAGTGTTGATTTTTCCAGAGAAAAGAAAAGGTGAAACAATTGGGGATTAACAGTGGATTCCAAAGAGTGGCTCTTCTTCCACTGGATTTCAAATAGAGTTTAGAAGTTGGAGAAAACCACTCGAAGCATAGGAGCAAACCAACAAGCAAATGACACTGAGTCAGGGAATCAAACCCAGGTTGCCTTGGTGAGAGTTGAACGCTTAGAGCTCTCACCTTTACACCACCCATACTTAAAAAAATGCTGGGCTAAGGGTTGAATCATGACCAGTGCTTCACAAAAGTGTTAGAGCTATAACATAGTATTTTTGTCATCGTTCATTATTCAATCATAAAAAGTTATATATTATTATTATTATTATTATCATTATTATTATATATTATTACCTTCTTTCCTCTTCTTTCATTGAAACTAACTGTTTTATAGAACGTATATTTCTCTGGAAAAAAAGTTGGGGTAAATAATTAGTGAAATGGGACAGTGGG